TCAACAGATCAACGATCCCTTTGTCACCCTGTCTTTCATAAACAACAGCGCCGGTCGAAGGATCACACGCTTCGACCACCATTTCATTTATTAATCGCGTGGGGTTTATCAAGAGACCACCGTACTGTCCTTTGCTATCAATCTTGTAAGCATTTCGCTTCCTCTGTGTATATTTACGCTTGCGGTTCTTGTGACCCTTGCGATCCGTGTGACCCTTACCCTCTTGCGTGACGAAAATTTTATCACCACCCGCAAGCAGATTTATGCGGTCAATATATTTTCTCAGTGTATCGACTTGACGCACGATATCATCTATTTTATCCTTATTTTTTTCAGCATTCTTCGAATAACCGGCCTTTTTATGATTTGCTCTTTTGATTCGATTGACCACATCATTGTACAGTCTATCATGATCAAAATCCTCATCAAGTATTTTTTTGAATGCTTCATTAGGCGTGGGAAAGCCGCTGTTTTGAATATAATTGAGTTCGTCTTGGCTAAAACCGATCTCTGGATTGGGCACTTTTATTTTAGCTTTAGGTGGTGGTTCAAGCGCTACATCGGTTAGAGCGGTGGGAGAATCGGGTGGACTTTCAAAAGTATCGAGCTCTTTGAGAAAAGATAGATCGTGAGTGAGAGCTTTTTGATTCTCCTGCAATTGTTGAATCATTTTGTCTTGCTTATCATCTATTGTCTCTTTAACCTGTTTGACCTCTTTCACAATCGGTTTGAATACTTCTTCACGTTCGAGTTCAAGACCTTGCTTGGCATCATTATAATCTTGCACTGTCTTTTTGATTTCTGACCTCTTGTGATTTTTTTCAAGTTTGAGGTTAAGGTTTCTTTTAAACGCATTGACATTCATGTCTTGTGTGAATATTTGTTAGTAGTCAATATTTTTTTGAATAATTTTTTGTATCGTAAGGTGCGTGCGCACCCTACGAGAGGTAGAGTACAAAAAAAGCTCCCACATGGGATGGATTGTACAACTCGATTCATATAAATATACATCGCGATTTTTATAATAAGTGGGGATACCTGTATGCGTGTATATCATGGTTAGAAAAGACGGGGAGGCTTTCCATGCTATGCCCCTACAACGTAACACTTATTTCCAAAGATAAGTGTCACTTTCGCTTTTGCATTGATAACAATTATTTCCAAAGATAAGTGTCACTTTCGCTTTTGCATTGATAACACTTATCTCCAAAGATAAGTGTCACTTTCGCTTTTGCATTGATAACACTTATCTCCAAAAATAAGTATCGACTTTCGATTTTGCATATACTACTTTTGTTGACAAGTTAAAAAAAATATTTACAATAAGCAAAATGGTTGATATTATAAATTTCACAACACACCGTTCAAACGAAAATCGAAAGAGAAGAGTACCCGGCGTTGACTTTCTTGATGAAGAGTACAGAATGTTGATAGCGGGTCCCAGTGGAAGTGGAAAGACAAACATACTCATGAATATTTTGAGAAAGCCGTTGGTCATTTACGATCAGATTTACCTTTACACAAAAAATCCTCATCAAGAGATGTATCAAGATTTGCAAAAGACTATGCATCGACACTCACAGAAATTTGGATGTGATATTTTGCACATAATGAACCCCGATGAGATTCTTGACACGGCTGAGTATCCAGAAGGAAACAGAAAAGTTGTTATTTTTGATGATCTCCTCGCTGCTCCTAAAAACGTGCAGGAAAAGATCTTGAATCACTTTATTGACGGCAGACATCATTTGATTTCACCGATTTATCTGAGTCAATCTTATTACAGGACTCCTGCCACCATCAGATTAAACTGCTCTCATTTGATTGTGTACGCGCCTGTACAAAAGCGTCATCGCAGAATTATCGCTGATGATAACAGTTTTGATGTAGATT